ACCACTTGTTCTCCCCCACTTTTCCTATGGGGGTGTGTCAGGACATTATAGCTTATACATTTGTGTAGGCTGTAGTGGGGTAGCCCATAAGGGGTACAACCCAATTAGGGTTAGTACTTGTACCCAACTGAGTTCTACTTCATTCATTCTCATTCGTTATTTTGATAGCTACCACCAGTTGCGTTGAGAAGCCTCCACCTCTGTGTAATACGCTTGGTGGTTTCTCTTATTCCACATTCTCCAACAATACCATTCTGACTTGGAATACCATTAGAATGGGCCTGCTCTCTCTCACACAGCAGTCCAAGTTCCAACACTTGCACAACCTAGAGCAGCACCATTGTGTACGCACCTGCTCCGATACCCTTTCCTCTCTCACCCCGCACGCTCCCTCCCATGACGGCACCGCCAGGATGCAGTGGAGATAATCAACAACGAGGAGGGCAAGGCATGGTACATAGTGCTGGTGAAGCGGGGGCAGTATGTGGGCAACGTGGAGGTGGAGCGAGTGAACGTGGTGCTGCTAGGCAGCGGTGCATGGCAGACGGTCATCACAGGGAACCGCAGCAACGGCGCTGGCTTCGATACATGGGATACCCCCTCCTTTGGTCAGTCGCTCTGCATGCTACCGCGCACTTAGACCACTCCCCTCTCCTTCCTCTCAGATCCTCTTCCCGCAACTCTCAGCTTCCCGCACCTCTCAGCTTCCCGCACCTCTCAGCTTCCCGCACCTCTCAGCTTCCCGCACGCTCCCCCCTTCTCTATCCCCTCTTCTCTATCCCCTCTTCTCTATCCCTCACGCCCCTCTCAGTTGTCTTCTTGCTTTCAAGGTATCACTGCCCTTGAGCCATCCCAGCTAATACCTATGTACCGCGCAACTGCACTTGCTTTTTCTGTTCGCTTCTCACCCCTCTTTCTTTCTTCTTCTGCCTGGTGTCAGCTGCGGCGGGCAACAACTTTGTGACAATAGGTATTCGCTTTGAGAACTCTGCATCGCCTAACATGGAGGCTGCAGTTGCGTTTCGGGCATCCGGGGACAAAGCCATAGCGTACCGCTGTGTCTTTGTTGGCTTCCAGGTCCACTCTGTCCCATTTGCTGTCTTCTCTCTTCTATCTTCTCGCTTCGCTCTTCTCTCCTCTCCCTTCTCTTTTCTCTCTTCTCTCTTCTCTCTTCTCTCTTCTCCCTTCTCTCCTGCCTCCTCTCTCTGCCCTCTTGCTGCTGCTCTTTGCTCTCTGCTCTCTGCTCGGTCAAGACCGCGCATCCTTGTCCATATGATCAGCTCTGCTTTTCGATATCAATAACGATTTTGCTACTTCCAAGCATACATCCAAACCAATCATTCCGGTACATAATCTTCCTTTCCGTCCCTCTTTCGTTGAACCTTCAATCCCACCCTCCACTCATTTGTTTTGCCTTCTTCCTCCATCATGCCGTATTTTTCTCTCTTGTTCCTCCTCTCCCTTTCCCTCTCCCTCGGCCTCTTCCGCTTCCTCTCTCTCTCCCCCCCATCTCTCTCTCTCTACCACTCCCTCTCTCTCGCTCCACCCATCCCTCTCTCTCCCTCTTCCCCTCCCTCTCGCCCCTTCCATTCTCCCCCAAAATATCCCTCGGCCTCTCCCTCCTCCTCCATTCCCAATCCCACTGCCCTTCCCTCGTCCCCAGGACACAGTGAACTCGCACCGTGGCCGGCATTACTTCCGCAACTACGCCATCTATGGCCACGTGGACTTCATATACGGCCGCCACGGCACAGCCGTCTTTGACCGCTGCCGCATCATCCCCGTCCCGCGCCCGGAAAACAACAGCCCTGCCACCATAGCCACCCATGGAGGAGACACAGCCGCCAGACGTGAAGGCGGGTTCATCTTCTACCGTTGCTTGGTTGCCCGAATCAGTCAGCGCGTGTCAACGTACCTGGGCAGGCCGTGGCAATCGCACGCGCGCGTCGTGTACATGTATAGCCACCTGTTTAATGCTGTCCTTCCCGAGGGGTGGGCTCCGTAGCCTGGGGAGAACTTTGGGCCGAGGGCTTTTCTGGGGGAGTATCGGAACATAGGGCCGGGTGCGTGGACGGGTGGGCGTGTGAGGTGGGCTCGACCTGGCTTGCTGAATGAAACGCAGGTGGCTCCGTTCATGCCGGAAGCATTTATTCGGGGCAGCAGGTGGGTGCGCAGGACACCTGTGGAGATTGTATACCCTTGAAGGCCTGAGAGCTGAAGGCAGTGTGGCTGGTGGGAGGAGGATCACATATGGTGCACGTAAAAAGCGGCTGTCGGATACAGGGCGGTGAATGGAGGGCAAGGGATTGAATGCAAGTAGCTTATTTTTTTCCCTATTTTTTCCAGAGGTTGATGCGATAGAGGCCAGCATGGGGAGTTGGGCTTGTGAAGACGAGCAGCTGAGTGCGGCTGGTTTGATCACGATATGTTCTTTTATTGGCCGAGTTGGTCGCGTGAAGATCCACTGGCTTTGAGCTCGAGCTCCGGGCCAGCTGGACCATAGTGCATGATTTTCTTTCTTTCTCTTTTCTTTCTTTTTTTAATCAAATTACCATACGGTGCCTTACCTAAACCCTATGAACCTCGGTGGACCATACCAGCCACCAATGCTGCGATCAGAAATTGATCGCCCCTAGGATCGCCTCAGGAAAGGTTCGCATAGAGTTGATTGGTAGTGGTGGGCCCTTGACCTCAATTCAGAGTGAATGTAAAATGATTGAGATGCTTGAAAGCATGCAAATACAGGAATATGAATATGATTACATAGTGGAATACGAAACGACCTAGCTAGCCATGTAGGGGTACATTCCCGTATTGCAGCGAAACCCAACCGTGCGACTCCATTCGGTTACGAAACTGTCCGGGCAGAATCCTCGCAACTGCTGCTGCTGGATGCCATCTGCCTTGATAGTCCAGATGCTTCGTAACCGTACGACCTTTTGCGTCGCTTCCGCCTTTTCGTCTTCAGCCTCGGTACTGCATGCTTCGATTGCTACTGTCAGGAGTGCACAGTAACACTTCATCTTTTGCTATTTGTAACAACCAATAGTCTCCCATCACCCTTCCAGCACCGTTTCCCCCCCTTTTCCACCCCCTTCACTGTTTATACACTCTCCCTCATTCAATCCCTTGTTCATAAAGCAACTTTCCGTTAGTCACGACCGGAGTTTCACGATTCCTCGTGCCTTCAACAACATTTTTCAATAACCGTACAAGTGACCCCCTTACTTACTTCAAATGCATGTTATGGAACAGCTATTGCAGTGGTTGGATAACAGATGGCACATCCAGACATTTCCGGTTACAAAGTCGGCGATGTGGGTCTCATTAGAAATCACACAATGATGCTCAAAAGACCGACCGTATTACGTGCGTTGGGTTAGGCAGCTCTGAATTTCCAATCAAATTACACCCAACGCAAGTCAAGGGCATCATTGTTTCGAGTACTCTCCTGGTTTTTTTCATCGTTTATGTTTTACGAATGATGGAAAAGAAACATGCTGTAAGATTACCGGTATTTCTTTTTGTAGAGCTGCTTTTGTTTTTAGTGCGCTCATGTTTCTCTGAACTCATAACACGCACTCTCGTTTACAACTCATAACACGAGCGCACTAAAAACAGGCCGCGCTGCCGTCTGCCACCGTGCGGTCCGGTGGAGTTGGCTGGAACAGTTAGCAAGAGCATCACAGCACTTCATCCCCTGCTTGATTGCAGGGTTCATGATTCGCTCTGGGGGACCCTGACTGGTTGAGAGGTCAACGAGGTTCACCCTGCCACTGCAGTGTGGCAGCTGTGGGATCGTGACGAAATTGCAGTTTGTTCACTCCCTTATTTACGGAGCTTGGTTTAAACGTTTAAATAGAGAGAGTTATTCTTTCGTGTTTAGACCTGGTTGCAGGAATAGTATGGGCTTGGTCGGGGAAGTAATTGCCATTTGTACTTGTTGAAGTGAGTGTTTCCTCTGGTGTCGCTCCTGCTAGTTCAGTGCAGTTGACGGGTTTTCCAGCGGATCACCTCAACAAAGGCGGGTGCTTTCTGTATGGAGCTGGAACAAGGCCAAGCTGGAAAAATATGAAAGTTGTATCCGTTTCAGCTGAGATGAGTGGCACATGCGACAATGATGTTTTTTGCAGTGTGACTCCCAAAACTCACTCGGAATATGGGCTATACAGGGTAAAACCTCCTGAAATTCGTTGCCCTGCTTGAAAGCTCTTGTCCAGCGACCGAATGTTGGAGCACTCGTGGCCAATCTACAAGATGTGCGACCAATTCCCGATGCGCGTCGCAACAACCTCTGGAATGGATTGGTGGGCGAACTGAAAGAGGAGAGGGAATGACAGACCGCCCTGGTTTTGGGTTTCTGATTCCTTTCGGCAGTGGTTTTGACACCGCCTTGCTTTGCGCTCGCGTACGATACCTTCGGAGACTAATATTGTGTTTTATTTATTGGGATTTCATAGATTGAATTGTCGCGTCAAATACGAGAAGCTTGGGACAAAAAATATTTCCCCTCATGGAGGGCATGCCATTTGGGAGGCATCAACCCTAAACACCATGAGGCAAGGTGTTTAGGGTTGCTGCCTCCCAGATGGCCAGCCATCCGTGAGGGGTTTATTTTTTCCACTGGCCACTGAACTAAAACCAGGTAAACTTCAGAACTTCCTGGTCACTGGAAATTGGAAATGTCGAAATCAGCTGCCCCAAGGAATCGGACGCGAGCGGAGAAGCAAGGCGGTGTCAAAGCCACTGCCCAAAGGAATCGGAAACTTGAAAACAAGGCGATTCGTCATTTCCTGGAGAGAGGGGCATTTGCGTTCCGGCGAACGTCGCTAGATCCTGGACCATTCCGTGGGTATCCCCAAGCCAACCGAACACCGAACCAACCAACCAACCAACCCAGGTAATCATTCACATCAGAACCACGAAGTGGAGAAATTGTGTTCGATCACACTTGTGTTTGATGAAACAGTGTTACCAGCAGCAACTCTCTTCCACGGGCCATGGCCATTCCTCGCACGGTGCCGTTCGCGGTAGCAGCTTGGCTGATGCTCTTCACGTCATGTCTAGTGTCCTCTCACGCACGGGACCTCTCCAACCACCGCCTTCCCACCACCAGGAGCTCCGAAGCCGTTGCGAAATTTCCCGCAGTTCTCTCCTGGTCTTCCCCCGAAGACGCCGGACATGACGGCGCGCGCGGCGATATCGGAGATCCGCCTTCGCACCGCAGCTCTACCGTCATCGCCGCTGCCGCCGAAGTTGAAAAGCCGGCGCGACCCTCGACGCGGTCCGCGATAAGCGGCTACTATGACGGACCGCGACTGTCGGGGGAAGCGGCGATCCCAGAGTGGTTGGACCGGGACGCGCTGCGTGATTTGGAGGAACTACTCAAGGATGTGCTTGGTGAGCCGCGCGGAAGCGGCGACCATAAACATAACGATGATGATAATGAAGTTGATGACGATGGCGCGTTTGGAATTGGTGACTGGGATTTGCCGTCGGGGCCTACCAATTGGAGCGACGAGGGTAAAAGCGGAGGTGGTGCGTCGCGGGGAGCGAAGGACGCGAGTGCGGCGTTCGGGGATGGGGAGCGGGAAAGCTGCGCGGGGGCAACAACCGGCGGCGCTAGTACTAGCCGCCGCAGCAGCAGCGCAGGCAACCGCGGTTCCATCATCCGCGGAAGCGATTGCGGCAGCAGCGACTGTGGTGGTACGGAGAGTGTTCCGACGGGGAAGAGGCGATCGCTGTTGGGAAAGCCGGTAGTGCCGAACCTGATCGTGGCTCAGGACGGGTCGGGAAACGTCACTAACCTCCAGGTATGTGCGTATGCGTTGGTTCGCAGGAGGGGTGATTAATGTTTAAGGCCTGCCACGTGGCGTACTCGTTTGTCCGAAAACCATGCTGGTACCAAAAACGCATGCAGCTTGGACAATTTCAGTGATACTCTCCAAAAACGAGAATAGGCTCTTACCTTTGTTTTCCCTAACGTCTACTTTGGGAGATCTCTGCCGTCTCTTATGTGATTGAGCTCCATGCATAGTTCATCCTCTGTGTGGTATTCTTTAATTTTCCTCTTCCCATATTCTCACCTACCCCAAAACCCTCCTCTCTCACACCCCGCACGCTCCCACGACGGCACCAGGACGCTGTGAGGATTATCAACAGTGATATGAGCAGGACATGGTACATAGTGCAGTTGAAGCCGGGGCGGTATGTGGGCAACGTGCAGGTGGAGAGGGTGAATGTGGTACTGCTGGGCAGCGGTGCATGGCGGACGGTCATCACAGGGAACCGCAGCAACGGTGCTGGCTTCGATACATGGGATACCCCCTCCTTTGGTTAGTCGCTCTGCATGCTACCGCGCACTTACACCACTCCCCTCTCCTTCCTCTCAGATCCCCTTCCCGCAACTCCCTCCCACTTCCCCCTCGCAGCGTCCCTCAAACCTCCCTCTTCTCAACCCCGCCCTCTCCCCCATGTTGGTCTCAATTTCTCTCTAGCTTTTCCAGCTATCGCTGCCCTTGAACCGTTCTCTTTGCGCTTTTAGCTAATGCTTGTCAGCTGCGCATACTGAGCTTGTTTTTCTGGCTCAATTTTCGTTCTTTCTTTTCTCTCCGATTCTGCGGGCTCTCAGCTGCGGCGGGAAACAACTTTGTGACGATGGGCATTCGCTTTGAGAACACTGCACGGCCTCGCATGGAGGCAGCAGTTGCGTTCCGAGCAACTGGGGACAGAACCATCGCGTACCGCTGTGTCTTTTCGGGCTTCCAGGTGCACCCTCTTCTATCCACTCTCTTCTCTTCTGATTGCCCTCCTCTCTTTGGAACTGCCTCTGCTCTCCTGCCTTATCAATCTGCCCTCTTCTTGCTGCTCTCTCCCCTCTGCTCCTACGTCAAGACCCCAAAACCGTTTCCATCTGGTCTGCTCTGGTTTTGCACTTCCAATCATCCTGTCACTTCCAAGCATAACTGAACCAAGCAATCCAATAGGTGCCCTTCCCTTCCCCCAATTTCTCTCTGAGCTTTCATCCAACCCCTACTCCTCTCTTCTTCTGCCTTACTCCACCATCACACCACCCGTTTCTCCCTCCCACCCCTCTCTCTTCTTCCTCCTCGTCCTGTCTCTCTTCCTCTCCCATTTCTCTCCCTACACCCCCATTTTTGAGTCTATCTTTGTCTCACACACTCTCCCTCACCCGCTCTTTAACCCGCATGCTCCTCTTCCCTTCCCCTCTCCCTCTCCCTCTCCCTCTCCCTCTCCCTCTCCCTTTCCCTCAGGACACACTCAACGCGCATCAAGGGCGGCAGTACTACCGCAACTGCGCCATCTATGGCCACGTGGACTTCATATACGGTCGCCAAGGAGCGGCCGTTTTTGACCGCTGCCGCATCGCCCCCATCCCACGCCCGGGGCAAACCAGCTCTGCCATCATCGCCACCCACGGCGGCAAATCCCTCTCATTACGTGAGGGCGGGTTTGTCTTCTACCGGTGCATGGTTGCCGGAGTCACTCCAGGGTTGACCGCGTATCTGGGCAGGCCGTGGTTTCCGCATGCGCGTGTGATTTACATGTTCAGCTACTTGTCAAAAACTATCCTTCCCGAGGGGTGGGCTGAATGGCCCGGAGAGGTATTTGGGCCGACTTCGTTTCTGGGAGAGTACAGAAACACAGGGCCGGGTGCAGGGGTGAGTGGGCGTGCGAGGTGGGTTCGACCTGGGCTGTTGAATGCAATGCAGGTAGCTCCGTTCATGCCTGAGGCATATATTCGAGGCAGCAGGTGGGTGGGCAGAACACCTTTGGAGATTGTGTATCCTTGACAGCTTGGGAGTTGAAGCAAGTGTGTGTTATGGGTATCAAACTCGTATAGTGCTTACATTGTGTAGGATGTAGTAGGGTAGCTCTTAAGGGGTACAACCCAATTAGGGTTAGTATTTGTACCCAACTTTCTGTTCAATCCAACCATTATTGTTCAGTATTTTGACATGGTTTAAGAGCAGGTCTGTTCTAGAACATTTTTTTGTAGGGCCCACCACAGAGCGCTCCACGACTAGCTACCCTACCGCCCTGCCCTAACGATCGCGCCGCCCTGCTGGCCATTGTGCCGCCCTTAGCAGCCCGTGAGCCGCTCTTTGCAGCCCGTCGCCGCCCTTGCAACCCGCGAGCCGCCCCTGCAGCCCGCGCGCCACCTTTAACAGCCCGCGCGCCTCCCCTGCAGCCCGCTCGCCGCCCCTGCGGCCCACTCGCCGCCCCTGCAGCCCGCTCGCCGCCCCTGCAGCCCGCTTGCTGCCCGTTTGCGGCTCGCTCGCCGCCCCTGCAGCCCGTTCGCCGCCCGTTTGCGGCCCGCTCGCCGCCCATTGCAGCCCGCGCGCCGCCCTCTGGCAGCCTGCTCGCCGCCCCTTGCAGCCCGCGCGCCGCATTCTGGCAGCCCGCTCGCCGCCCTTCTGCAGCCAGCTCGCCGCCCCTTGCAGCCTGCTAGCGCTGCCCTGCTTGCGCCGCCCGGCTGCTGCCCGCCTTGCTGCTCGCAGCCCTACTGGCCGGCGGATACCTTCCCGGGCCGCCCTGCTGCTGCCCGCCCTGCTGTGCGCCACCCTGCTTGCCGCCCTAGCCGTGCGCCGCCCTGCCCTGCCCTGCGCGCTTCCCTAGTGCTCGCGCACCGCCCTGCCTGCGTGCTGCTCTCCTGCCCGCTATGGCTTCTCTCAGTGTAGTCACCTTCGATCATGAGGGCCGTCCGATCCAGTTCGATACGTGGCTCAACGACTTACAGCTGTACCTACTGATCAATTCTAGAGACAGCGTTTCGTTGTTTGACCACACTTCTGGAGCCTCTCTCGCCCCTCCCGCCACACCTGACAGTGCGACTCGCTCACAGTGGCTTACACGTGACGCTGCTGCCCGCTTAGCCGTTCGCAACCACCTGCCGTTAGCCCAACGCACTCACTTTGGCCAGCACAAGACTGCTAAAGCCCTGTACGACGCTGTAGTCGCTCGTTACTCCTCCCCTGCCACTGCTGCTCACGGCCGCCTTATACTGCCCTACCTGTTTCCCGAGCTGTCCGCCTTTGCCACAGTCGAGGACTTCGTTACCACCTCCGCACTAGCCACGCTCACTACCGCTCTGCCCTCCCAGCAGAGTTCCTTGACAGGAACCCGCCCCCGATGTACATCAATCTCTACTTCATAGTCATCCAACTCCCTGACTCTCTTCGCGGTGTCACGGACCATTTTCTCGCACTTGACCCCACAGACCTTACTGTCGACCTGCTCGAGCAGCACCTCCTTGACACTGAGACTAGCGTAGTCGCTGTAGGTGCTGCTTGTGGCACTCCTCGCACACACTTCTTTGAGGGGTGTTCCCCCTCCCCCCATGCCCCCTCCTACGCTTCTGCTGCTGCTGTTAACATCCTTGGTGCTGAGGATGTCGGGGCTGCTTGTGCTATCAGTGGGAAGCGCCGCAGCAGCAAGGGCAAGGGTGGCAGGAGTGGTGGTTGTGGCAGCAGGGGTGGTGGTGCTGGCGGCAGTGGAGGTGGTGGCAGCGGTGGGAGTGGTGGCGGTAGTGGTGGCGGCGGTGGGGGTGGCGGTAGTGGTGGCGGCGATTGGGGTGGCGGTAGTGGCCGCAATGGGAGTGGTGGCAGTCGGGGTGGAGCTGTTCAGAGGGGAGTTTCTGGCGGTGGATAGAGGTAGCAGCAGCCGTGTCGGAGCGAGACCCCTTCGCCCCAGCAGCTTTGTGAGTGGTTTGCTCTGTGTGGGGAGTCTTGGGGTAGTGTTCACTGCCCGTATGTCATTCGCACGGGTGACTGTGCTGGTCAGACATGCGGGAAGCTTCACTCTAAACACCGCTGCTTATCCCGCCTAGACGACGCTTGGCGCGCAGAGTTTGGCAACAAGGCTGAGTGCCCCCGTTGGCCCATCACCTGGCCACGTTCACCCGTCGGCCTAGGTCGTGTCTGTACACACTGACTACCGAGCCTCTTCAGGTAGCTGCGTCTTCTCAGGTGTCCGCGTCACGTCCGGTAGCACCCCCCTTCTCGTGTCGCCTCCTGTGGCACCAGACTCTCCTGTGGCACCACCGCCTTGGTAACCCCTCCCTGCCACGCCTTCGTGGCATGCACTCCCGCCTCCTTGTTTCTGGTCTTCCCAGGTCTCTGCCTCCCCTCCCGCCCTCGCCTGCCCCGCCCTGCCTTCCTTGCGTCAAGGGGCGACAGCGCGCCGCTCCTCACTCCTCCTTGTTTGCCCCAAAGACTGCTCCCCTGCAGACTCTCCACATGGACATGTGGGGCCCAGCCCGCGTCAGTGGACAGGACCGCGAGCGCTACTTCCTGCTGGTTGTTAACAACTACACGCATTACACCACGGTCTTCCCCTTGCACAGCAAGGGTGAGGTCCCTGATGTCTTGATCCCTTGTATCCGCGCAGTCCGTCTCCAGCTCCGTGAGCGGTTCCGTGAGGACCTTCCTGTCTTGCGTCTGCACTCTGACAGAGGTGGTGAGTTCTCCTCTGACCTCTTGCGATACTTTTGTCGTGGAGGGGGCATCCTCCAATCGTTCACGCTTCTGGCCTCCCCGCATTGGCTTAGTCATGGAGGTTGCTCGTGCCTCCATGATCCATGCGGCTACTCCACATTTTCTGTGGACGTTTGCGGTCCGGTACGATGCGCATCAGCTCAACCTCTGGCCCCGTGTCTCCTTATCGGAGACCTCGCCTACACTGCGTTGGACGGGGAAGGTTGGCGATGCGTCGGTGTTCCGGGTCTGGGGCTCTCGTGCCTTTGTTCACGATACTTCCGCGGATAAACTCTCCGCCCGCGCTATTCCCTACGTCTTCCTTGGCTTTCCGCCTGACGCGCCTGGCTGGCAGTTTTACCACCCCACCTCGCGCCATGTCCTCTTCTCTTGGGACGTCACGTTTGATGAGTCGGTTCCTCTTTACCATCTCTTCCCCTACCGCTCTGCCCCTCTCCCCCCTCCGCCGCTCTTCCTTGCTCCAGGTCCCCTTCCAGTAGACCCCCCTCCCCCTTCGGGGTCCTGCTCCCTCAGGTGTGTCTCAGGTAGACCCACTCCCCGGGACTGTGCCTTTCGAAGTCGCTGTCGACTCAGGTGCTGCTAGAGGTGCTGCTTCTGGGGGTGCTGCGTCTGGGGGTGCTAAGCCTGCGAGTGCGGAGCCTGGGGGTGCTGAGCCTGAGGGTGTGGAGCCTGGGGGTGCTGAGTCTGAGGGTGCAGAGTCTGGGGGTGCTTAGCCTGGGGGTGCGGAGCCTGGGGGTACTGAGCATGAGGGTGCGGAGCCTAGGGGTGCTGAGTTTGAGGGTGCAGAGTGTGGGGGTGCTCAGGTAACGCAGTACCCTCTTCGCAGCATCCCAAAGCACCTTTCGGTGCCTACCGGGAGCCACGTAGCGAGCCAGGAGGCTGAGAGTGTACGCGAGGTCAGGTTGTGTGCAAGTCATCTGGTACATGAGGCAACCCACAAGCTCTAGGTACGGACCACTCGGCTCTACGGACTCGTCCGAAGGTGGAGCTGAGAGCGAGTGGCTGGTAGACAGAGGAGTGAGCTGTGGCGAAGAGTACTGGAAGCCGAAGTGCTGAAGGACCTGGTGCACCATGTGTGACTGAGTCAGTGTGATGGTGCGCCGTGCTCTGTCACGGGTGATCTGCAGGCCAAGATAGCTGCGTAGTTCACCCAGGTCAGTGCAGGTATGTCTCTTCTGCAGCTCGGACTTCACAAGGGTCAGTGCGTCAGTGTCAGCCATAGCAAAGACGAGGTCGTCGACGTACACTAGGACGTAGAACGGCGGCAGCGAGGTGTCGGTGCGTAGAAACAGCGACGGGTCTGCTGTAGAAGGAGCAAACCCAAGAGCCGCAAGTGTAGTCCTGAGTGTGTCGTGCCACTCGCGAGGCGCCTGGCGGAGACCGTAGACTGGCCGGCGGGGGCTCCACTGAGTACCTGCAGGAAACGTCCCAGCGAAACCAGGTGGTCGGCGCAGCCAGATCTCCTCGTGCAGGCTGCCCTGAAGGAAAACTGTACTGAAGTCCAGGGAGTGTAACTCGTAGTCACGCTGAGCAGCGACGTGCAGCAACACCCAAAGAGTAGTCATCTTCGGGGTGGGGGAGAAGGTCTGGAAGTACTCAACTCCTTGTCGCTGGCTGAAGCCTCGAGCAACGTAACGCGCCTTGAAGGCAGGTGGAGAACCCGGCGGCCGCTTCACCCTGAAAATCCACATCCCATCGACTATGTTCGCCCCAGGTGGGGGAACCTCGTCGACGTAGGTGCCTGTGGACTTCCAGGATGCCATCTCGGCATCCATTGCTGCCTGCCACGAAGAGGAGTAAGGACCCGTAATTGCCTCTGCGTAAGAGCGCGGGGTCGGGATGTCTGGAGCATCCGGGTCTCCCTTAGGGGCAAGCAGCAAGGAAGCGAAACGAGGTATAGCAGCTGCAAGACACTCAAAGTCCTCCTGCCTGTCCTCAAGGACGTCCGTGCCAAGAGCACACTCACCCCCAACGGACGGAGGACATGCAGGCATAGACTCAGCAACTAGAGCAGAGGCGTAGTCGAGACGGCAGGCAGCAGCAATGTCAAGCAGCTCAGCAACTACAGCAGAAGCTGCAGCAGACTCAAAAGACGGGTCAGTGAAAGCAGTGGCAAGGAGACGAGCGACAGTGGGATTGGCAGCACGCGCTCGGTCAGACTCAGGGTCAGGGACCTCAGGAAGAGAGGACTCAGGAGGAGCAGGCAGAGGAACACGTAGT